GCCTGCGGGCCCACAGGCCGGGGCGAGAGGCACGTCCGGCCTCGCGGCGGGCTCCAGGACGGGGCACCGCCCGAGGCCGTCCGGGCCGGGAACGCCGGCCGTCTGTTGCCATGAATCGGCCGTGGCCCGGGGCGTGCTCTGCTAGCGTCTGGACCGGAGATTTACCGCCGTGTTTACAGCAGGCCGAGCGTGCGGTGGCCTGGCCGGGACCGACTCCACCCCTGCCCCGCCCGCCCTCCCCTCCCCGCGACCGGCGCGACTGGGGCGTCCGCCGTCCGCACCGGGCAGTCATGCAGTCCGTCGTGTGGCGGTGGGCATTCCAGCCGGCCACTGGTCACGGCTCACAGCCAGTTACCCAGCTCAATTGTCGACATCGAGCCATTAACGGTGGACACAAACTCATAGAGCACCAGTGCGCAGCGGACCACGTATCCTATATCAAAGGTCGGCATATGCAAATGATCGCAAATAACCAGCGCGGTTGAAGTACCCTAAAGCAACATCAAAGGGCGGCATATGTTATAAGCAGCAAGCCTAAGCGCAGAACATGCCTGAATTCCTGCAGACATGGCGTGCATAAGCAATGCCAGGAACGAGACCAGTGCAGGGCCACGCAGACTGAACAGGAGAAAGCCCATTTATCCCCCTAAGGAAGGAAATCTTGAAATCCGGGAAACAATGCAAGTCTCCATATCATCCAAGGCTTGCTACAGCTCTAAAAGCTCCGTGGAACTGAGTAATCGCAAGGCACACTGTACCACTCCGCCACCAACCTCCACCGCGCGGGTCCCAGTCGTCAAGAGGAGCAGCCGACCGCGCCTCAGCTGCAGCCCACATGGCTGCACCAGCCGGAGGTGGGCCGCGGACCATCCCACCGGCGGCCCGCCGCGGCACACGCGCCACAGGCCGCGGACAGCCGGCCCGGGCCGGACAGTTTTTGCCGGGGACTGGACCCGGCGCGGACCCGGCCCGTCGCGGTGAGCGCCGCTTGATGGAGCTCCGACCACAGCCGAGGTGTCGGGTGACTCCTGGACGCGACGGGGCGCCGAATCGCAATGGCGGCTCCACCGTGTGTGTATGCGTGCGTGTGTGTGTGTGTGTGTGTGTGTGTGTGTGTGTGTGTGTGTGTGTGTGTGTGTGTGTGTGTGTGTGTGTGTGTGTGTGTGTGTGTGTGTGTGTGTGTGTGTGTGTGTGTGTGTGTGCGTATGTGTGTGTGTGTGCGTGTGGTGTGTGTGTGCACACCAGACTAAATCGCCGCCACTCGGAATGCCAATGAGAGGCACGGCTGCACGGCGGTAAAACGTCGCCGGTCTTTTCCGGCGACGAGGTTTGTCGCTGAGACAAAAAGAGGCAGAATAACATGGCCCTTTCATTGTGTATGTCTGCCGCTTCAAGAAGTAACTGGGTTTATGTGGGCGGGAGGTATTAAGACCAGTCACCAGTGCATAATATATCCCATTCTGGACCGTACAGGCAACAGATCGCGGTCTGCAAGAATGACACGGTTGCAAATAAATTGGGTAAATAATGTCACGTTAACGATTTGCGCACGTTTCAAAATCTATTATGGGGTTCTACTGACTTCATAACATCTCATTTCACATTACTTTAGCCTCAAGAGGCAAAACCACTTTAACGGGAGGACATTTGTTCCCTCGTCCCCTCTGTGTTTCTCTGCACCCTGAACTCTTTTATAAGAACTGACCATCCTATCCAACTTGGGTGAACTCTTGGGTGAGGGTGAACTTGGGTGAAGTTTTTCAGAGCATTGCGCAAGCATGCACTTTCCAGTAGACCTTTTTGATGGTGCAACATCAGCATACTCGGGGAGTGGATGATGGGACATGATCTCGTCGAGCTCTGCACTGAATATATCTAATTTCTGAAATATAAAACAACCTCAAATTTGGTTATATTACGAATTCCATATCAATTATAGCCGTAACGCAACGTTTCGGGGGCTCGGTGGTGTTTTGTTTCGTTTTTACTGAAGATCGCTCACAGGTCTCACTTTAAATCTTCCCAGACGCTGGGGTAGCCAGCCCCCCCCCCCCCCCCCTGAATCATCCGTAGCTCCTGCGGCCAGGCTTGGCAGCCCGTCAATGGCAGCACATGCGGCAAACCTCGCGCCTGCCATGCTGATTTGACCCTCCGCTGAGACCGCCCCATGTACCCTTTTCCAGTAAAACATAAATGAATCGTTCCGCCTCACACTAAATCAGCGGGCCCGCCCCGTCCAGCACGCGGTGGCCAGGCATGGCTGCTCAGGAGCAGCCACCAGTGAAATCAGCCCCCGCTGGGCTGCCTCGTTTGCAGCAAAGGCAGGGGACTGGTGACACCGCAAACGCGCCCAAACCAAGCAGCCGTTTTACCACACGGGGATTCTCAGTACACTGCGTGACCAACGATGTCTGCACTTCCCAGAATGAGCTGAATGAGTACGTCAGGTTACTTATGGTGTGAGCGTTTCCGACACTCCGGTGGCACCTGCCGGAATTGCTGGCGTTTTCTTGCGATCTTACACTGACGCCCTGGTGCTCCGAATAGTGTGACCTCTGCCCGAGATGTTTACGTTCAGATATATTTTGCCCGGAAATCTGGCCTTCCTGGTGACCTTTTTCCGAGCATTCAGCGCACGTTCTGTATGTGTACGCAGGGAGTACGCAATTCAGTGAAAGTGGCATACTGAAAGTAACGCAACTCGCAGCAGCCCACGCCAGGAACATGGCGACAAATTAAGTGGGACCAGCGGCCATAACATCTGGTGCGCACGGCAGCTGTTAGAAAGTGACAGCCCAACTTTGTGCATATATCTGTTTTTGAAGCATTTATTCTTGACATCACCGTTTGAAAAGCGCTGGTTGCTCACTTCCAGCACTATCCGTTCTTGCGCAGGACACTTGCTTCCTGAGCAAAGTGAAACATTAAACGTAACTTTGTTCTTTTTGTTGCTCGGGTTGGGCGAACAATACGAAAAATCAAGCTAACCTAAATCACAAACAAGAACCTAAGAACCTAAGTCACAGACATTGCAAGAAATTGGAATACCCAGACAATTATCGTAGTGATGTGTACGCCGATTGTATGGTGCCCAGACTATCCCCAGTTCCTGAGCCCAAGTACAGCGGAAGTAGCTCTTGTCAGGCCTGCTCGATCAACCCTTCAACATTAACCCTCGATTGACCCCTCGAAACCAAGGTCAGGACCGGACCACGCCGTCGGTGCTGGGCTCGGGAACCACCCGGGCAGGACTGGCTTTGTGTGCGGCGTTGCGGTCACCGGTGCTGCCTTTTTACCGGCGTCGGCGTCTCCTCCAAAATGCGCTCGCCACCGTTTGCGGCGAGGCGCATCGGGGCGTCACCGTCAAGGCGGCCGGCACCAGCTGCTGGTGGTCGGGCGATGGTGCCGGCTTCCCGCTCTGGGCGCACCCGCCGCACCATTGTTCCGACGCAGAGAAAGCCAGCGGCTCCTCGCCGGCACCCGACTGTTGACCCGGGCCGTCTGTGGGGCGCGGCGTGCTCTGTGGGAACGCCGCACACGTCACACACCCATCCCTCATGTCAGCATCGGGCCCGTCTCGACTGGAGCGCTGAATGCCAACCGCTCGCGACCTGACGCAAATGAGGCGAGCCTATTCCGACGGCGGCCGCGCGGCCGGCGGCGGGCCGTTTTTACCCCCACCGTGCATAAATACTGGGCGGACCTGTTAATTTCACGTGGTGAATTCGTCGGAATTAGCCGGCGCGCTGCTGCGGGTGGCCGAGCGAAAAAGGTGCCTCCTGGACGGCGGCTGCCGTGGGAAACGCCGTTGCCCGAGCCGCCGGCACCCATCGCTCGGAGCGAGGAAACCCTACACCGGGCCGCGAGGGCTGGGAGTCCCACGGTCTCCGCCGCTCGGTCGTGAGGTCTGGGCGAGTAGTCCCGGTCGCCGTCAGCAACGGGACGGCGGAGAGAAGTGCCGCTGGTGCTGCGAGGCTGGTGCTCCGGCACGACGTAGAAGCGTGGGACCATGCTGCAGACAGAACCCCTGCAGTTCTGGCCCACCTTCCGCAAATGCGTAGATTGATACAGGGCGGTGCAACGCTACAACCGAAAAACTGCGTCAGGCGGTAAATCAGCAGCAGGGTGGTTCAAACTCCAGAGGCGCGCAAGGTAGGTCATCAATAGGTCGCACAAAAAGGCATACTATTAAGTGGAAGAGTAAGGGGCAAAGAATGGCATTACGATTGTAAGACAAAACTTACATGCAGCGTTCCACTTACTGCTAAGGCATATTGAGGCCCAAAGAGTAAGACATCATCAATACTAAGCATCCATGTCACGCACTACTACGGGCAATTACCCAGTGTGTGTCAACCATGAAGAAAAGCGTGGTTTGCCAACAGCTAATTCTGCCGACTGCTTCGCTTTCGCCCTGAAGCCGGCTGCCTGTGTTGCGATAGAAGCCCACAGAGGACGACGAATTGCGTCTCGGGGCTACGCACCGTAAATGATGTCTCCATCGGTCCCGGACTGTAAACGCCGGAGACGTCCCGGTTCGCTACAGCATCTGAAGGCCAGACAATCCATTTCCACGTCGTGAGACGAACCGATCATCGTTTTTAATCGGCCCATCCTGAACGAATGGCTGGTCGAGGGCCGGCCTGTCTGCCGGGGAAAGCGGGGATCTCTTCCCGCTGCGAACGCGATGGTTCACACTCCAGTTCCCATTCTGGAACGCGCCCGCGGCCACGACGCCGTATTTGTCCGGGACGCGTAATTACTTGTTGGCCCATGACGGGGGTCCCCCATCAATAACGGTACATTCCGCCGAGCTTGACGGAGTGGGGTCGCCTCAGGCCTCGGAGTCCATGGAGTCCGAGACAGTGAACACGCGCACGCCGGATTCGCGTGATAAGGGCGGGTCTTTGTCAGGTTTGCCAGACCCTGAAAACCCCAGAGACGTTGTCGATCGGACGGTATTTCAGACTAAGCGCTAATGGACCGAAGGAAAAAACACGTTAATCACACAATGCTTTTATATAAATATTCGCAGCTCCATTTAACAAATCACGACATCTAAATAGTATTCGGGCGATGCATTGACACTGCAAGCTTCAACGTACGCATCTCATATTGCGACAGCTGTGCTTTGAGCTAAAACAGCTTCCACTGAAGAGCAGGCAACGCTACCAAGGTGACAACTGAGCACAGTGCACGCACATTAGCTGACCCCTGTGCAAATACGCAGCTGAACGAGGAACGTGTCCGCGACATCAAGGCAGCAACAACGTTACAGCCGCCCATGGTGAACGCATTACCACATGCTTCCTGATATATTTGTCCTCGCCTCTGACGCATGGTCAAGGATTTCACTAAGGCATGGAAAGATGAAGAGGTTCGATCGCCATCTCCGGTCACCTTTAGGCCTAGCCCTGAGCTATCGTATCAAAACCAGCCAACACAATACCCCTTTCTCCTAGGAAGTCGAGAGCTTCGGCGCTCTAAGCATGAGTCAGAGCTCTAAATATTTTTGCGATGTTACGGCTCAACATCATGCAATTTGACATCAGAGCAGCGGGGCGCGTCAGCTGGGACCACTCGTGTCAGCGGTGCCGGTCAACACAAGCAGATAACAGACTTGCGACCATGGACATAATGATCCAACACTAGGAGGCTGGCTGCATGTGGTGATCCCCCCCCCCCCCCCCTAGCGATCAGGTGCGAACGGAGATTTATAACGGATCGGGACGGTACAAATGGTGTGTGTCTGCAAATCAGTATTAGCAAGCGCTTCACCTGGAGATTAAAGGAGAGCGGAGAGCGTCGGGGCTGGTCCTGTCTCGCTCCTTAGCCGCCCTTTGAAGGGCCGCACCCAAAGCTTGGTCACCTCTGAACTATGACGTCACCAAACACAGGTCTGCTGCAGGACCCCCGAAGTCAGTGGCGCCGCTGACGGCAGTGAAACCATTGAATTCAGCACCGTTCGCTGATGTTACCGGGGACCACCGACATCACTGAGGAACGTTGGGCACTCCAGGGATAGCTCACGTCAGCCGTGACCGCTGACGTAGCCAGGGGCCGCTGATGTTTCCCACGACAGCTGACGTAACCATGAACCACTGACGTCATCGCTGTCAGCTGACGTGATAAGTGATTGCCGGCGTTCCCCGTGACCACTGACGACTCTCGTGACCACTAGCATCACACGTAACACGTGCCGTCCACCCGCGACCACTGACGTCATCCATGACCACTGACGTCACCAGGGACCATCGACGTCAGCACGAGCGGCCGCCATCTGCGGTCGGACGGCGGTTGTGCGCCGCTCTCACGGTAACGCCGCGGCGCGCCGCGTTGGCGCACGGCCGCTGTTGCGCTCCCACGCCTCTTACGACACGGACGGCAGTAATAAGTACGTCGTCAGGCGCTGTCGACGCCAGGCTCGGGAGTTGAGGCGGCGGGGACTGCGGACCACTCACTCGCGGGGCGGGGCTGGCGGAGGCCGGACCGGGACCGGACTGCGGCCAGAGGCTTGGTCTTTTAACCCGGGAAGGGTCTGGGGTCGTCACAGAAGCGGGGCACAGATGAAGATGGAACTGGTGTCCGCGGGTACATGGAATAGAGACAAGGCTGGGATGGAGCAAGGGTGACTTGGGGTTTTAATGATGAAGCATGGAGAATAAACTGCGACTGGACTCGGATTAATGATCCAGGATGCTGTTGTGTGAATACAAAGGTCACCACCAGCCAGCTATGGGTGTCACCCATGCTCCAGAGGAACAGGATCGGCTCGAGAGCTCGTGTTGCTTACTCAAACCTGGGTGAGCCAATTTTCCCGAACAAGCGCGTTATTCAGTTTAGGACTCGACGGCGTCTAGTGGCCAACGCCCTGAGGGGCCTGTGGTCCGAGCTCTAAACCGGTGTCGTGCAGCGGTCTCAGAATGGCAGCGAACCATGCATCGCCAAGTTTGTGGACCACAGCACACGATCTGTCCCCACGCATCGCGTAGCTCCGTTATTTGCTTCATCACAGACTGAACCGTATCACACAGAACCGGTAACTCTATCCAGCACTTCAACGGGCTGCCGCACTGCTGACACACACCAAAGCTGCACTCGGCACGTGTGTTCATGCCGAGAGGTGTGTGAGTCTAGTCCCGGAGCGGACACGGAGAGCGCCTTCAGCCCCGTCCGAACACTAGCCGGTTTTGTCTGTTCACGAGAGTGCTGGCAGGCAACTCAAACACTTCACTCCGTTCGCCGGTTCACCTCGGTTCGCCCAGCAGACCAGCGTGCGCACCTCCCCCAGCTGTGAGTCGACCCCATTCGCCCAGCGCGCTGGCTCAGTTTCTCGCCCCGCAGGCTGGTTCGCTGCGCTCGCCCTCGGGGCGTCGCCTCGACCCGTCCAGCCGGCGACCAGGGGTCGGCACACGGGGCGACGGCGGCCGCCGCTCAGCTGGCGGGCTCGCGCAGCTCGCTGATGACCTTGCCCAGCGAGCGGAAGCAGCACCATGAGAAAGACGGCCACGGCCAGCAGGCCGGCGCCGCCCGTCACCAGGATGCCGCCGATGGAGGGCTCCGTGTTCGGCGGCCGGAACCGGGTCAGCAGCGCCGCCTGAGGGCACAGCCGAGGGTCACGTCAGGCTCAGGGTCGGACAGCACCCCTGGAGACGCAGAGTGTCACTAGCGCTTCTGCAGGGGCGCCGAGGGGCATGTGTTGCCCGGGATCTGATGGCAGTTTTCTTAGAGGTACAATGGGGAATCACAAAACGCACTGAATGCGCAGAAAGGGATCGGATAACACATGACATAAATAAATAAATAAATAAATAAATATATATGTATATATATATATATATATATATATATATATATATATATATATATATATATATATATATATATATATATATATATATATATGTGTGTGTGTGTGTGTGTGTGTGTGTATGTGTGTGTGTGCGTGTGTGTACACAAATCTATATGAGACATATTTCTCTATATATATATATATAAATATGTGTCCTATATATATATATATATATATATATATATATATATATATATATATATATATATATATAGCGCCCCCCGGGGCCCCAGCAACAGGCCACGTGATGTTCAACATCAGACAGCCCCTGGAGACATTGTGAGATGTGATGATTGGGGCCAGATGCACCCTGTGGCAACACAATAAGTGTTCCGGTGACACCTAGGGTCCGCAGAGTCCCCTAGAGGTACGGCGAAGGGTCGCGTGGCCTGGAGGCCAAGGGCTTCCCCTGGTCGCGGAGCGAGAGGCCACGGAGTGCGGCGGACACATATGGGAAATGAAAAGGGGGGCCAGGGAAAACGCATACAGAGGGCTCAAAACACGCATGAGCACACCAAACACGAACCGTCAGAATGCATTCACTAAGACCTCCGCGAATAAAACACGTGGAGAGGACCAATCGCTGGGAAGACGAGTAGTGAAGCTACCATCCAAAACTTCTGAAATGCGTCTCGTCCAATCTTGAACCGAATGTTTACGCCGTCGTAAAACGAAATCAAAACCTGTTCCAAAGTGCCATTATAAACCAGTTCCCTATGACGTTATCTTCTTATCCCGCTTCTTCCTAGCTGGCCTGCGCGCGTCATTTGGTAGGGACTGGTTACGCAACGTGTGCCTGTCGCCTGGAGAGATCCGATGCGATGGACAGACGCCGGTCGAGGCCGCTTTCCTTCCGGCGGTGACACCGAGCGGCGGTCAGCACTAATTAGCGCATAGTTCTGATAGCAGCCCGCATCGGGCGGTCGTTAGAGGGGCCGGCCCTCGCCGCCGGCACTGCCCTTGTCACGTCCAGCCCGGACCCCGCCCTGCGAGTGTCCGGTCCCCGCACGGGCGAAGTCCAGAGAAAAATCGGTCACTTTTCAGTCCTGAGTCCGCAGTTCTGTACGGGTCCAGTCGCCGCCCATCTGTGGTCCAAGCACAGTCCAGTCCTACTCTCATTGCTGTCCAGTGCTGGCCCACTCACGGACGGCAGCAAACTGGCGTCCTCGGCAGGCTCAGCGGAGCTGATCGCGGCCGCCAGGGAGCGCGCTCGTCCGCCGATGGCACCCGCCGGTACTCATTAGTCACCGACTGGTGAAAAGCAGCCCGATTTTCTCCCCTGCCAACACGGCGCGAGCACCGCTGGGTGAATGGCGTGTTCGGATATCGCACACGTGCTCCCACTAAGCCCAGCGGACCAGAACGAGTCTCCAGGCCAGGACGGGAACCAGCCAACAGCCGGCCTGCCTCAGCAGGTGTCCGATCCGCTCTTCCAGGGCGCATCTCAGCGGCGCATGGCCCGACGGCCGTGGCGGATGGCAAGCGCTGCTGTAGAAGCCAAGCGGCAAAACAGAGGCCCGTCTAATTAGAGTCGAGCATTAGCCCGATAGCATCGGCGCAACGCCCGTTCGCCGCGCCGCCGCCATTGAGGGAGTTTCTCCCCACTCACACACACGCTCTCTCCGCCTCTTTTTCGGCCCGCGCGTTGATAGCCTGATGCCGTTGGCCCGATCGTTAAATTCCCTCCGTTTTAAAGCGATAAATGTCTCGCTCACGTCGGGTGCCTGCGCCGGCCGGGACCGATGCGCGGCGATCTGTTGCATCACGTTCCAGCCATCGCCGCGCTTCAGCGATGCCCTATCAGGCGTTTTTGTCCCACGGCTGAAGCAGCACCGCATGATCGGCATATTATTCCGGACTGCAGGCGGCGCGGACGTGGGGACGCACGCGCGGAGGGCAAGGCGAGGACTCTCCTCGGGCTCATAACTGGACGAACAGAGGACAGAAAATACAAAGGGGATAATCGAACAGTGAGGTCAGACAGAGGCGGTCTGGCACCTGTTAATGGATCGGCAAGGCCTATTCAAGATTATTCGAACATGATGTTCCCCTGCAGCATCTACACATTTGAGCGACAAACAAATTTGTGCACTAAGAGACCATCATCTGCTTTCTAAATCGCTCTCCATTCACAAATCAGCGTCTGCAATCAGACACCCCCGAAACGTTTTTAAACGCCTCCCGCTTACTTGACCGCCCGCAGCTTACCGAAAAGTACCTGCTCCGGAATGCCACGCAGTACTTAACCATGACGACTACAGACATTCGACCTTGCCTCACTTTTGGGCACCAGCATTGGACATAGCACTTCATCGGAACCAGCTGAAGTTTCGTAGCCGGCGGACGGGAAGAGTCAACGAACCGTGGCGCAGCTATGCCATGTTCAGCGCGAGGGCTGCCGGGGGCGCGCTGCAGCAACTCTCTTGCTGCTTCAGTGCCTACAAACTGATCACTGTCCGGTAATCTAATCTGCCCGGGAAGCTCCATTCGGCGTGTCGAGCAGCATCCTTATAGCGGCTGCGGCTGTTATGCATCGGCGAGAGGTGGGCGGCGTTCCGCGCCCATCTGGTTGTATCAGTCAGTGGCCTATAGCGTGCCAGCAGGCAGACAACAGCAAGCCAGATGTGAGACTAGCCGAAGCAGGGGCCCAGGGAGTTCGGGCTGCCAAAACTAGCCGTCGGTATTGCTTTATCACGATATTATTTCCTACCGTCCGCCGGGGCCAGAACTCTGCTGGCTTGTCAGTTGTTTCGACACAGCCGAGTTGTAAAACCAGGCTGTAAGGCCCCAGGGATGCATTTCTTTCCATTCCATTCCATTCCATTCCATTCCAGGCGCCGCGTTGCCGCCGGAAGACCCAGCGGAGCTGACGGAGAGGCCCGACGAAGTTGCCGGAGAGGCCCGGCGAGCCTGCCGGGGAAGCCAACGGAACTCCCGGAGAGGCCCGGCGCAGCAGCCGGGGAAGCCTGGTGGACCTGCCGGAGAAGCCCGCGCGAGCCCGTCCCGGGCGGCTGAGGACGGTGGCAGTGGTTGCGGGATCGTTGCGGTTGTAAGTGTGGGAATCGCCGCGATCTAATGGATCGAAAGATCGACGGCTTTCGATTAAATCAATCCAATATCAGAAAAGGAGCTGGAAATCGAGGCCAGTCTTCGCATCTTTCAATCATATCATGCGCTTTGCTTTCACACTGTTACGCAATTTAAGCCGCTTCGTTTGTAAGACCAGTTTTAGCAACGGTTACATATTGAAACAGTGCTTTGCCTGGCATGACAAAAGAGATGCATCATTCAAAGTTGCATCGGCGCCTGATATGGTGTTTGCTCACGTCGCAAAGCCGTCTACGTCACGTCTACGTCTACGTTCAGGTCAAACGCAACCCATGAAACGGGACAGTCGTAAATGTACCGAGGTACAAACTAGTAATTAAGGGACTAATTAACTCCTCTGACCTGACACGGTTTCTCCCATCATTCTCCATGCTGCTCTCGATTTTGTCACATTGCCATCCGCCGCAGCACTAAATGAACCTGATTTTCTTTTCATAATATTCAGCCAGCTACATACCCAGCCCCTTTTTGCCATCGGCTTGCGCGATGCGGTAAAAAGAACCTTCCCTCCATTGGGACCTGCGCACGGAACATTGGATACGTGAGGCAATTTCAACAATGCGTCCATGACATTTTAACCAGAAGCGCCTTCCCCAGCAAGAAGCCTGAACCACGGGAAATTCATCTACTAACCTATCACACCACACACCCCTTTGCCGAGTGAGTGCACCAATGCCACCCCTCCCGCTGCCAGTTGACGAGCCACACGCGTCCCCTCCCCACGACTCCACCCCGAGCAGTCAGCTGAGCAGCTCCGTCCGCCTCTGGCGGTCCGATGACCGCGCCGCCTCGAGCGGTGGGAGTCAGCTGTAATCAGGGCGGCGCCAGGCGCCACTGCCGCCGTTACCAGCACCTGAGCGTGTTTGTGGTACCGCCGTTACGGCCGCCCGAACCCGTCATCAGCGGGGAAAGCTTCACAATCGACGGGTTCTGTGCAGCTGATCGCGCGTGTCCTCGGGCCTTTGGCGACTGCTACGTGCTAGGCTCTCCGTGCTCCATATCCTCGCATGCGTTCGATCGATCGGATCGGTCTCCGGAGAAGGTCGCCATTAATTTGTGTTTCTGGAAAGTGTAACGACCGGGGTGTAATCAGCTCTGATTTCTGACTCATGGCAACTCTGACTTCTCTTTAGTATTATCTCTATAATAGTATATAATTAAGATTATACTTTATATAGTAGTTGGTACGTTTTTTAGTGCACATAAATGATATGTACATGACACAAAATTAATCCGAAAGAAAGAGAACAGCCCTTCTGGCCGTCATCAATATAGTGACTGCAACAACAATGGCATAGCTCGACAGAGTCAGCTCATTGGAGCTGTCATCATCATTGTTGAACTGACCACCGAAGCCTGATCACAATTAGTAGAAGTACTCATAACACACAGCACGAAGTGTTTGACAAACAATGGTGCGCTGCCCTCACCACTAATCGGTGAACTTCATAGACCGAATATAAAACTGCATACTGCACAGACTTGTGAAAGTTCCTCCCAGCCGACCTGCGCCAGGCGCGGTCTCTCTGTCCTCCTCTGTCCTCTGTCTGTCCTCCTCTGTCCTCCTCCGTCTCTCTGTCCTCCCAGTGACAGATCCCAGCCGGAGCTCCGTCCTTCGCGTCGCGTGGCAGAGCACG